AGTGACAGTTTTGTTCCACCCATCTATGCATTCACTGGTTGACTCCTGTGTGTACCCTGACCAGGGACTGAACCTGCAACCTTGATGTATTGGGACAACGCTCTAACCAACTGAGCAACCCAGCCAGGGCTAAAATTTAAAATCTACTCTTCAAAGACTGAATTAAATAAAGTATTTGGACCTTATGTCAAAGAAACTAGGATCCAACACTGTACCCAAAAATCTTATCAGAAAAATAATGGAATTAATATCAATATAAATTTAACTTTATAAGTAAAAAATACCAAAACTTTTACTTTAGCCTGAGATATTCTGACTACTAACCTAACTGTGTGAATTTCATGCAAGTGAATATAATATGCTAATTAAAGTATATGGGATGCCTGCCCAGCAACCATTAAGCCTATTCTTTTTTAACATAATCCCAATATTATTCACATATCCATCCATCCAATACAGTCATTTGTATCAAACCAGGCATGAGCCTAATTCTCAGTCTTAGGAGGTGAATTATGATTAGTGTAAAACCAACCCTTCTTAAACATTTGTGTTAATAAGAACCAGCCCTGGCTAGTGTGATTCAATTGGTTAGAGCAACGTCAAGGCACATACCTAGGTTGCAGGTTTTGGTCTCAAGTCTGGGCTCGTGCAGGAGACAACCGATCAATGTTTCCCTCTCACCTCAATGTTTCTCTCTCAAAAATCAGTGAGGCCAGCTGGTGTTGCTCAGTAGTTGAGCATCGACCTATGAATCAGAAGGTCAAGGTTCAATTCCCTGTCAGGGCACAAGCCTGGGTTGCTGGTTCGATCTCCAGTAGGAGATGTGCGGGAGGCAGCCAATGGATGATTCTTCTCGTCATTGATATTTCAATCTCTCTCTCCTTCTCCTTTCCTCTCTGAAATTAAAAAAATAAAATAAATAAATAAATAAATAACCGCCATAACCGGTTTGGTTCAGTGGATAGAGCGTCAGCCTGCGTGGACTGAAAGGTCCCAGGTTTGATTCTGGTCAAGGGCATGTACCTTGATTGCAAGCACATCCCCAGTAGGGGGTGTGCAGGAGGCAGCTGATCAATGTTTCTCTCTTATCGATGTTTCTAACGCTCTATCTGTCTCCCTTTCTCTCTGTAAAAAAATCAAGAAAATATATTTTCAAAAAAAAACTTAAAAAAAAAATCAATGAAGCCCAGCCAGCATTGCTTAGTGGTTGAACATCGACCTATGACCAGGAGGAGGTCATGGTTTGATTCCCGGACAGGGCACAGGCCTGGGTTGTGAGTTCGATCCCCAGTGTGGAGCGTGCAGGAAGCATCCAATTGGTAATTCTCTCTCATCACTGATGTTTCTGTCTCTCTCTCCCTCTCCCTTCCACTCTGAATCAATAAAAATATTTATTTTATTTTATTATTTTTTACTATATCTTTATTGATTTCAGAGGGGGAGAAGGAAAGAGAGATGGAAACATCAATAGAAAGTACATTTTTTTTTTAAATAATGAAAATGTCCTCACATGAGGATTTTTAAAGTAATTAATTAATTAATACGGACCAGCCTCAAACAGAGTGTCAAACTGCAGCGGGAAGGCCGGGGAGGGTTCGGGGGCAGGAGGTAGGGGGGTAAGAGATCAACCAAAGGACTTGTATGCATGCATATAAGCATAACCAATGGACATAAGACACTGGGGGATAGGGGAGGCTAGGGGACTGTCTTGGGCGGGGGGAAAAAATGGACACATATGTAATATCCTTTGTAATAAATAATAAAATTTAAAAAAATAAATAAATAAAGCCTTAAAAAGAGCATAAAAAAAAAATTAATACGGACCATACCCAGAGAGCTTTAGTTTATTGTAGGTCATCTTTATTAATATTTACTTACAAAATATTTTTTTTAAGAGAAAAGGGAAGGGAGAGGGAGAGAGAGAGACAAACGTTGATGTAAATCAGCGGCCTCCTGCACACCCTATACCGGGGATGGAGCTCTGACTGGGAATTGAACCAGCAACCTTTCGATGTACATTACATTGACCAACCAAGTGAGCCACACTGGCCAGGGCGCAAATTTCTTTAATGTTTGGCTTAATAGAAGACAGCTGAAGTTATTATACCAGTATCTTCTGTATTCAACCTGCTTCAATATAATATGCCATGTAGCCACTAGAAAACTACACTACATACCCTGACAGAATGAAAAAGGCAAGTAATACGATGGGGTTATTATGGAAATACTTTTGACTTCATGAACCCCTGAAAGTGTCCCAGGACAATAGTTAAGAACCATAATCATTCACTCCCCTTGCCTGTGAATGATTTCAGCATAAGCATGTGATACAATTTTGACCCAAGAGACAAAAGTACAGATAGGGATTTATGGGAAATATTTCCTCATTTATATAAAACACACACATTTTCACTAAAATAGAAGCTCTTTTAGGATCAACTCTACTGCAGATAACAACTATAAATTCTGGGCAAAATATAAAGAACAACTACCCGAAGGCACCAGAGTGACTAAAAGCGGACACAAACTGGAAAGGAGTTGAGATGTGGAAGAATATAATGATACTGGGTTGAGGATTATACAGGATTTTTTTTCTTTTTAAACTTTGGAGTAGGGGGAGCCTGGGCAGCCAGGTAGGGAAGTCAAAACCTGAGTAGAAGCAGTGTTACTGCCTTAGAAGGTTGCTAGCGAGTTTGATTCCTAATGAAGGGAATACACCTCAATTGCATGTTCCCAGCCCTGGTAGGGAGGTCAATCAATGTGTCTCCCTTCCACTCTCTCTAGGAATCGATGGGAAAAATATCCTCCGGTGAGGATTTGAAAAAAGTAAAGAAATATAGTTTTACTGACAAGAAAGAGAATAAAAAATTCAAGACAAACTCAGGACCAGAAAAGAGTGCTATACTGAATTATGCATAAAAATGCTGCCCATTACAAAAAAAATATGGATCAAATCAAGTTGATACCCTATTGAAAAAACAAGATTACCACAATGTAAGTCCCAATATATTTAACAATGGTGACAGTACTAATAAAATGTTACTTTATAATTTCAATTAAAGCTCTAATTTGAATTATGAAAACCTCCAGGTAATATGATACAATGAAAAAAATATAACACGAATCAGAAATTCTTAATATCAATTCCTCCTTAGATGATTAATGGCTAGAGAATTTGGTCAAACCAATGTATTATTTTATCTTTTTTTTAAAAATTGTTTTATTGCTTAAAGTATTACAAAGAGTATTATATATGTCTCCTTTTTGTTTCTCCCCTTCACCCTCCCCTAGCCTCCCATGCCCCCCAGTGTCTTATGTCCATTGGTTAGGCTTATATGCATGCATACAAGTCCTTCAGTTGATCTCTTACCCCCCTCCCACCCCCTAACTTTCCTCAGCCTTCCGGCTGTAGTTTTACAGTCTGTTCGATGTTGCTCTGCCTCGGTATCTATGTTTGCTCATCAGTTTACTGTCAC